AATTCGAATGATGACGTCACATTTCTGAGAAATGCTGAAACGGCCATTTTAACAAAAAACGAGTGAAAGAACACAACAACATTAGTTGCGCTGACGAGAACAACTTTATCGAAATTGAAGAAGTCGAAATTGAAGAAAAACAGCAGCAGATTGCAGAGAACGTTCCGAGTTGCAACTGTTGTGCTGCTACAATAGTTGCAAGGCCGTTGCGAACAACGGTGAAGGGTAAGAAACCAGCCTTCCGTGTTGTCGTGAAATCGAACTTATGGAGCTTGATTCACCGGATTCAAGAATCCGGAAGGGTCTCGGGACGGAAAACTTTTATTGACTCATATGAACTTTTAGCATCCTGCCATGTCCTGACTTGAATTTAATTGATATTTGGATTAGTTTTGACAAGGATGAGGTGCTAAGAGTTGGGGGGGGGGGAAAGGGTTGATCCATCTTCGATGGAGATGATGATTTTTATCTACTGAACAAAAACAATAGTAATATAATAAGTAGTAGCCCTGTTTTTAGGAGTGACCTCGTGGTCTGGGGATACTGAGACCCAGCCATGAGCTCACTATTTTTGCATGTAATTCAGTTAATTTGAGCGTTCTGGTCGAAGCCGGAGAACAGTAACGTTTTTGTCGACCCGATGTTAGAAAAGACCACCGAAAAGTACTGGCTTGGTAGAGACGGTGAAAAACATGCAAAGCTCTGTTTAGACGCTAGCCAGTCGTCTTAATACTTAGTTTTGTTATCCGTCGATATGTATCTTCCGGGCAAATGTTACACATGTCAAGTCGTTCGATACAATTATTCCAAGATCTTTTTCCTTCTGTGTTTGTTCAAGTGTCTTTCCATTCATTGAAATACTTCCGTTTCCTTTTAAGTTCAGCGTTTTACATTTGCTGATGTTTAATGTCATCAATTCTGGCTACACCATTTCCATATTCTGGTCGTGTGTGTCAGTTTGTAGAGTGATCGTGTTGGTAGCAATAACTTTATAGTCATCCGCGTATCCGAAACAACTTGACATGAAACTCTTGGAGATCAATTATAAAGATTATGAAGAACAGAGGACCCAGTACTGGGCCTTGTGGAACTCCACTTTTGACTTCGAGTTCTGAAGAGATCGAGTTTCCAACTTTTGCTTGGTTTTTTCGACCTTTCAGGTAGCTTTCAAGCAGCTCCAAAGCTACTCCAGTGATGCCAATATTTTGCAATTTTTCTATTAGTTTTTCATGACTCACCTTGTCAAACGCCTTTTCGAAGTCGAAGTATAGAGCAGTCAGTGTTGGAGATTCGAAGTGGTCAAATATTTCACTGAGATATAAGATTTACATTTGGTTGAATCATTGTGGATTTAAATTTGGTGAATCCATGTTGTTCTTTGCAGATATTAAGTCCAATGGCTGCGTTTAGTTTTTCGAAAACTAATGTTTCAAGAACTTTTGAGAATCACGCCAAGAGCGCAATGAGACGATAGTTTGAAATGTCTCGTTTGTCTCCGTCTTTAAATATTGGTATAAGGATAAATACTCAATTTCCATAAGGAAGGGTAGACATGTTTATTACCAATTATGTTGGAGACGAGTGTCAGTGAAGGAGCCAAGTATTTAGCTAAACTTTTAAAAGGTAGATTTCCTAGATCGTCAGGACCTTTTGCTTTCCCAATACACAAGTTCTCAAGTGTAATTTGCACTTCCTCTCTTGTAAAGTGGAATTTATCTACTTCTGAAGTATTGGAGTTATCGGAGGTTCTTTGATAATCCGAATAAGTAAAGACTGATTGAAAGAACTCATTAAAGAGTTGGGTTTTTTTTTATCGGTGACAGCGATCTGATCATTTAAGTACATTTCTGAGGGAAGTTGAGATGATTTTTGATTGCTCTTAAAGTACTTTTGTATTTGTGAAAATGTTCATTTTCGAAAACTAAGTGTTCAAGTTCTTTTTGATCTTCGTTTAAAAGTTCACGTACTCTTGATTCAGGTGTTGCCAGCTTTAGGTAGTTGATCGGGGACGGTTTTTTATTCATCAATTTCCTCATTATATTCCTCTTTTTAATTGCATTTGATGTTTCATTGCTTCTGAAGTAGGTAAACTCATTCGATGTTTTATCTTTTTGGGTATATGTTTTTCCAATATCTTATGTAGCCAATCATACCATAAATCAACTACAACGCCGACATTGCTGAAGCAGTAAGGCAAGAAAGGATTTTGCACAATGTATAATCCGATTTCTTTCCAATTTGCTTTTTCGAACGAAAACATGCTAAAATCTTCTTTTTTAGGCAAGGTTTTTGTCACTTTGAACCAATCATTTAAACTCTGTTTGAGCTGGAATGGCTGATGATCGGATTTAAATAGCTTCTTAACGTAATTATCTACACTTACGTTTAGTATTGGTTCTGTATTGTTGACTAGAATGACATCAACTTGCTTTTTAGCACCTGTGATCAATTGCTGGTAACTGTGTTCGAACAACTCTTATAGTACCAGTGCGTCGTCCAAATTTGAGGACTCCATATGATGCCAGTTTGTGTTTTCAAAATTGATATCCCCTACAAGCATTGTAAGGTTGGTGACGTGATTCCTTCTCAGTTCGTCTAAGCATTCAAGAAGCTCCAGTAGAAAAATGGGCGAATGCCTGTATGGACTGTTTATAGGGGCACTGTAGATACAGCATAGGAGACATCTGTAGTCATTAAATTCAAGCTGAACAAGTACTGTATCAGGAAATTTTGAGTCAATAAATAAACGCCAGTGTTGAATACTTTTGTGTACTGGAATAAGCACCCCACCATGCTTTCTTTGGCCATTAACCGTATTAAGATCATTTCGATGTATGACGAAGTTATTGAGAAAAAGAGCATTATCGGGTATTTCTGGTACTAACCAGGTTTCCGCCAAGCAGATAATTTTCAAGTGATCGCATTTTCTTATGACATTTGAAAAGTCCATGCGTTTAACAAAGTCTACAAGACTTCTTACATTGTACAAAAGTAGGTGGGTACTGTTTTCAAGAAGGTTTGCGGCGAGTCATGACGACGATTCCTCGTCATTTTTCACTTCTACCCAGTCATTCCCGTCCTTCTTATACAATTTTAGGTCGCGAATTTTGAGTCCCTTCCGTAATATTCCAGCTTCAATCATTTCTCGGCGTTTCTTAAGTATCAGACGTTCTTGTTTTGCTTCTTCAGCGTTGATTTCTTTACTTACAAATACTAATTTGTCGTACACCTTAAGCTTGCTGATGGACAGGAGAATCAGTCGTCTGTGGAATTTATTTGCAACTGTGAAAACTATTGTCCTTGCTTTTCCCTCTTGATAGGGTCCGATACGTTTTATTTCAGTGATCTCACATTCGATTGATAAAAACGTAATCAAATCTGATATCTCTTTAATATCATGCTCAGTTCGCTCACGGGCAAGTTTTGAAGTGCTTTCAGGCACACCTCTTATTCGTATGCCTTCGGGGGTTTCGACTTTCACGGTTTTCTTTGGTGTTGGATGTTCTGCTCCTATATGAGTTTGTTTTGGAAATGGTTGTTTTACGAAGGATTCCTTTAACTCGGATATTGCTTTTTTGATTTCCGTTACCAATGTTTGAAGCAATTGAATTTTTGCAGCTGATTCTATGATCCGATCTTGCTGTTTTCGCGCCCCACAGTCATTGCACGGAAGAAGTGCCTTATTTCAGTGATTTCACATTCGATTGTTTAAACGTCATCAAAACGGATATCTCTTTAATATCAAGCTCATTTCGCTCACAATATCTTCTTGCAGCTCTTTTACGCCTAGGAGCGCTGCATGATTTAGTGCCGTACAGCCTTTTGTCAAATAAAAGTTGACTCCACAACTGAAGCAGGAAAATCAACCTCATCGGCAGATATTTCAAACTTAAAGGTTTTACAAAACTTTTGGCCCTCTTTTGCTGCATCTGTTGCAGATTTTAGCCTTGTTTTATGAGACATGGCTAAACACTTACTTCCTTTCTAAAAGTCTGTATCCAAAATCCGTAACTCGCTGACAAGAGCGGTCACTAGATTTTTTACCACAAACTCTTTAGATATCCTGTAACTCATGATCTGTAACTCGCTGACAACAGCCGTCACTTGAGTTCAAGCCACAAAATTTTATTACTGCAAGAAAATTCGTTTTTAATTTTGTATTACAAAATCCTTAACTCACTTACAAGAGTGGTCACTAGAGTTTGTTCAACAAACTGTTATTACAGATTTGAGTCTTTGAGTTTTGAAGATTCGTCGTAAGTTGGCCGGTTTTTGCTTCGATTGCTTCAATTTTTTTTGGACTTTTCGCGCTTGTCCTGGGTTCAAAAAAATTTGAAAATTTTCTGGAATTGGAAACAATTCTTGGTCCGCAAGTTTCTTTAGCTTGAAGTTTCTCCTTCGACGTGCAGATAGTCGCGTTTTCTTCTTGCAGATTTTTTGTTCGTATCCGTCGTAACGCAGGACAACGTAGAAAGATTTTAATTCTAATGCTGAGGGTTGATGCAATCGTTTGTATAGCTGCTTTAACTCTTCACTGATGTCGCCTCTTTCGTGAAGCAATATCCTCTACCACGTCTACCACGTTTTTAAAATCTCGATAGATGATTGAGGTTTCAGTCCTTTGGCAGTATATGATTGATCGAATACGAGATGAGACAGTCTTCAAAGAATCCGCCAACTCTGGTCCAGTTAGAGGTGAGTCAAAGTTGTTGAAGTGGGGTGAGAGAGAGTTCTTTATTGCGTCGTGCCAAATAACAAACTCTTCTGTTGGTTCCGCCTCTCTGATATGATATGCGTGAAGGTTGACTTTCTCGCTTTTGGTGTCCTTCGATTACAATTGAGGCCGCTTATGATGGCTGATTGATTTACGCCTAGACTTCTCAAGCGTCTTTTTTTGATATTCTTGAGAATTAAGTGCTCTGAAGAGAGAACTCGCGCCAAGGATAATCATTATAGGGCAACCACGGCTGCCCTCATTTCATTCAATCTTAAAAAACACTATTTAATAAGTTTAATAAGTTTAATAAGTCTAGTAGTCATAAGAAATAAACTGTCTGAAAACTAAATAAAAGAGCTGAAAAATTTAGAAACCAAACCGCAAAAATCTAACTTCAGCGTGAACAACAAAATCATCATGACCTACAAGTGTCATAACTGTAATTAGTAGCAAAAAGCACGGATAGAGAGAAACAAAATAAATCATCAATCAGTGTTTTTCGACGCTTTTTTGCATGCAAAATCTGAAACCGACAACCTTGAATTTTTGGTGCCCCAAAAAAAACAAATAGAAGTGAAGATGATCAAATCATTCAAAATCATAATTTCGACGTCATGTTTTTTATTTCAGCTTTAATTTCCGTTGATGTCTAGACAATTGCTCTTTTTAATCAATTCTGTCTTACCGAATTTTTGAAACTCTCCATACCTTGATTGACTTCAACAACTTCTAGGTCTCCGCTATGTTACGTTCCTGAAGCAAAACACCCCAGTAAAATCTTTTTGGCCTTTCAATGACCTTTTACAATGCAACTTAAACGATATAAGCTAAATCGATACTATTTAATTGGAAATACATGCCCAGACAGTACAAATTGTGTTAGCATCGGAACAGAAGTTACGAAGCGGTAATAATCATAATAATATTAATAATAAGCATAATAATAATCATAATAATAATCATAATAACAAGGGTTCGCATAAAAACCAGTCATAGCAGTGTTCAAAGTTTAGTTTTCAGTTAAAAATGTAACAGTCGCCTACTTAAGTCACATATGAGGCAAAGAAAAATAGACCCCATAACCATTGGCTTAAGAGTCAGTGACAAAATCTCTTGTGTATCTCCACATCATGCGGTCGGACCGAATTCTGTTCGCTTTCGACATGAGACTACAATGCGTGTCACATCTTAAAGGCTATATCCAAAATACCCCCCCCCCTAGAAATAAGAACGCCCCCATGGTGAGGTCTCTAAATACCTGACACACGCGAACGCCATTAAAAAAAGGGTCGGAAACGTAGGTATACCGTAAATTTTTGTTGGACAACGGACCTTTGATCCATTTACAGATGAATCAACCTAAAAACTCACTTTAACTCAACACAATTACAAAAAACGCACTTAAGAAATTTAAATTGGGTACTCACATACTGACTCGACTTCTAGATTTAGGTAAATAATTTTTGTATAGCAACTCTAGAATTGATTTAAAGTAATTAAGTTTAACTCGAGAAGTTTTGAAGAAGTATGTTTTAACTCAAGAAGAAGTTTTACTCTTTTGACAGTTGGGCAGCTCCACCTTCCCACTCGAGTGTTAATCTGGTCCAATCAATCATCGTCTTGATTTCTCGTCCTGAACTCTTGATTTTCTGTCAGGAGCAAGACAGCTCTACTCGTGTCTAACTATTCCGGTAAAATTGCGAATAGCTATTTTACTGTCGTATCTTTCTAGCGAGTTTCCCGCAATTCTTACTTGAATCTCTTATCTGATTTTGTTTGCGTTTTCAGTTGCCGCGAGAAACTTGAATATGACAGGCTGCATTCGAAATTTAAAAAAACTACTTTTGTACCCAAAATCGAGATTAAACTTCTAATTCAAAGCCAAACTTCCAAATATGACCGACTGGCATATACTGCCCGGACTCAAGATCGATGTCCTCATCGCGCGTCGCTGTCATTTCAGTGAGACTCCAGGTTGTTGAGTGCGTCTCAAGATACAGTGCCAACGGTCATTTACAGAAGTTGGCAGCAGTTTCAACTTTATCTACATCATCAAAATTCAAAGCCATGCAAAATTGTCACATTATAGCCAAACAGCAACCAAAATCTGCATCCACCTGCATCCTGAAATCCAGCTTCATAAGCCATCCTTCAGAAGTCTTTTTGTTTAACCCAGTCATACACTTGTCATGCAGCATTTTGATTTATATAAACAGATACATTATTTTGATAACAATATTTTATATGTTAAAATTTAATTTCCGTGCCCTCAAATTTTATCTGAGTTCACATTCAAGACTCAAGATCCAATCTCTGAGCATCCTGCTCAAATCATGCTCCCGTCTTCGAAGTACTGGGTCCAGACGCACTCGACTTAGTGATCGGCCTCATTAACTCATCTTAATCCTCGGAACTGATCCTCTTATTCCTCCCATGCCTTCAGCTGTTCTGATGATCGCATCCATTCTTTTGATCTTGCAATCTCCTCTTTTGACTTTGTAAGCTCTTCACCTTTTACTCTCTGTTCAAATGAAAGGAGTTATGCAAGCTCAAGCTCACGTTCTTCGCCATGTCCTCTTCCAGTATTGATTCCCTCGCCTTGGTTTTATCTCCAGACACCCTTTCAACTCTTTTCCAGCCCGCGGTTATGTTGGGTGAGCAGAGGTGGGTAAGCAGAGGTCTCTTGAAGGCTTCCTGCCCTATCTCGGCCAGGAGTTGACGGTATTCCTTCTGATGTTTCGTCATGTGATTCTTCGTCAAAGTGTATAGCCAAAAGGTCAGTGTCGCCCGAAACCATGAAAAGAATCGTATGCGGTCAACACTTGCCGCACTTCCATGGGTACAGCGAATACTTTGCACGCAGTCTCAAACAACTCAAGCCTCCTGTTATAGTCAATGGCAGGTATCGCCTCCACTGTTGGTGCCTTCGATTCCAGATAATTCGTTATATTCTCATCAATCCATCGCAGTGCCAACATCGAGCTCACCACGATATCCCCCATCAAGCATAGGTTTGACTGCTCTGGAAACCACACCGTCAGTGCCAGACAAAGACATGGGTATTCTCCGTGTGTCAAGTTGATGCTCCGGAGGTCGCGTCCTCCAGAAGCCTCGAGCAGGTATGTTCCATCATTTTCGCTTGTGCCACATCATTCTCATCCGCAGCTTGTGTGTTGCTTGTCGCCTTCCCGCTCGCGCCTTGCCTCTCGAAATCACTGGTGTTCTCCGTTTCTAAACTCGAGAGTTCCTTTCCCCAGATCTTGCTCAAGTCCTCTCTTCGGTCCCCTGGTACCACTCCCAGCATCTTCCGTAACAACCGATGCGAGTGATATGACATTCGCGCCAAGCGCACGCACTTGGGCACCGAGAAAGCCCTGTTAATCAGCAACCTCTGACTAGACGCCTCCACCATCGCCATGTGCAGTGGATAGTGACTTCCGCACAAGTTCGCCCTGACTGATCCCACCAGAGACTTCGCATTCATGCCTCACTCGCGGGAAAACCAATCTCTGCCTCAAGACCGACCTTCCATCCTCTGATATGCTTGTGGATCATTTATAGTACTCCAGGCCAGGACTCCACACTCAACGCTGTCACCACATGATGTTCTAATTCTAGCATCTCCAGTGACTGCAGACTACACAATCTTGAGGAAAACCCCGACGCCGTCGCTAAATTCACCGAGTTGCTCGCGTAACAATCAGCCATTATTTGCACCTCACTTTTTTCCATCTCAGTAAATTCACCGAACCAAGTGGCTAGATCTTTCCTTTGAAAAGACTGTATCCTGACACAAGACCGTCCATCACAAGAATTTTCTCCACCTCCACTCGTTAGATCAAGACAACTGCCTGGTTCCAGCTTCTTAGGCGACTCGTTCAGCTTGCTCATGCATTCTTCAAATTCTTTTTGATGAGGCAGGATCAATTTGTGTCCCAAGTTCAGATTCCCCAGATCCTCAACCTTCCCAGGTGACAGTGTCACTCGCTCCGTGACTTCTTCGTTCAAATTTCCCTGAGGATGTGGGCACCAAGAAAGTCTCAGCAACTTCCAAACAGTAGAAAATATGTCATCTTTGCCTCCCAGCCTCAGCTTCACCTTCCTCTAAGAACGCGGCATGCTGACAACTTCGGGCACCTTCTCAAGCAGCAAACCCAGGCTCAGTTTCTTCCTCTCAGTCGGATCAATCTCGATTATCTTCTCTGTCTAGAACTTCTGCAGCTCCGTAACTTCAAAATTCATATAGGCAGCTCCTGCCGCCGCATCAAGGAAAGGGTTGTGTGATATCCCCATTACGCCGAACACATACTGATACTCCCCTCGCTTCGTGGGTCTCGAAAAATCTTCCGCCAAAGCCAGGCTACGATGCACGTCATCACTCTCATCAAACTTTTTGTTCGAGCACCGTCGGATCTCGTCAAGCTCTGTATGGTTCTCCAGGGACTGCCTCGAACCATCCTCCTTCTGAACCGCAGTACTCTGATACACATTCAGGATGACGCTCGAGACTTTCTTCTTCAATGCTTTACCTCCCGCCGCACTTTGATAGCATGCCTGGAGGGTAGCATCAGGTATCACCGACATGATCCATCTCAAGAAAGAGGTGGCATCTTTTATCCTTGCAAGACTCAACCCTGAATTGTCTCGAGCAACATGCAGCGTCAGCATTCGATACACGTGCAGAACTTTGTCGCCCATTTTTAGTTTATCATATGAAGTCAACGCTTCTAGCGCCACTCCTGCCAAGCTCCACGTAAACATCAACTGACCCGCCGTCCTGACAAAAAGAATTGGCCAACAAATATTTTGCCGACGAGGGTCCCCACATTTCGACTTCAAAATACTCCAACAGCAACCTCTCCCAGGTTCGCCCAAACTGATTCTTCAACTCTAGTTCATTCACTTCCGCCATCTTTTGGATAGCCCAATTTCGAAGTTTTCTGGACACCCCGCATTCAAGTTTTTCCAGGCATCTCTCCGGTTTCTTCGCAGTATTCAGGGCTATCCGCCAGGGTCGAGAAGTCTTTCTCGTAAATCCTCTTCGAGGGGGTCACTTGCTACTTGTTTTACAATGCCCTGGTGTCGCTGCGGTATCCATTTTTTGTCGATGTCCACTTCTCGCATTTGTCCACTGATGGAGTCCTTCTTCGCATTCGCCTTTTGGGGTCGGAAATCTTCTTCCGTTCCGGGAGCCGTCGCGTTCTCCATCTCGATCAATACTTCAGCCAAATCTCGCTAGAACCATAGGAGCCATCTCCTTCAAATTCTTCCCTAAAACCGCCATTAACGAGAGTCTC